CTCAGAAAGAAAACCTAGGATTATGAGAACAAGACAGGGGTGGGACAATACCACAGTCAGGAACTGTGCTATTTCTGGTCCCTATTATACATGTTCTCTGGCATATTACAAGCTGCCTAGTGTTTTATTAAGTTAACACTCTCCTACACAAATACTGGCCAATAAAACTAGTATTAAACACAGTCATGGTTTTAAATCACCAGTACAGCAGGAACAGCCCCACTTAAAAACTTCTTTCACATGTTATCGTGGCATTCTTAGAGATGATTGAGAGAAATAACTGCAAGAAGGCTACTTAAAGGAATTAAGTATTAGACCTTGTTTTAATATATACACAAGGATTTCATTTAGTTGTTTTCTTCATTACAGGCTGCAGATTACTGATTCAGAAAGATGCCAGGCAGCATTTCTTTTTAAATACAGAAGAAAGTTTTGACTAAATCTGCTTCAAAACTCTCAGAAAAAGAAAGTCTACACACATGCACATGGAATGTTCAAAAGCCATGTATTAGAAAGACAGGTCAGGTTATTTTTGAGGTCACACCAAAAAAAAAGGCATAATTATGTACCAGCAAAAGATGAGCTACAGAGTAGTGTTCAAACAGCACATGATTTATTGTGGAAAATCTGTTCCCTAACTATTGTTCATGCATCTGCATTAATAGAATCCAAAACCTTAGCAGTTCCACATGGCTAAGCCCACAAGAAAGCTAAGGATTGGCTACTAAAAGCTTCAGAGTCTCCATAAAGCAGAAATACAAGCCACTGCAAACATGTTAGAAGCACAGCAAACTTACAGTGTCCCACATGACTACGTTGACATCAGTACTGAAGGAATTATTGATATGCTGTGTAATATACAGATTGACAAAATCGCAGAAGTGATGGTACATATTAACACCTGGGAAAGAAAGAAAGAATTGTTATGAGAACACCACGGTACTCCCTCCATTTTTAGTTGGTTTATGCACTTGTTCCTTATTAGTATCCTGCATTTTACATTAGTTTTCCCTTGCTTCTGACTGAACGCTTTTTACACACCCTAAAAAGGCAACCTTCTAAAGGGAAGGAATTGAGTTAAGAAGGAATTGAAGTAAAATGTGTTTTTAAAAGTTCAGAGAAATAGAAGAGTGGCAAAAAACAGTGTAAGAAAAAGTTAAGTTTCACAAGCTATTCCTCATTACAGTCTGCAACTGCTTGCTGAAGTGAATGAAAGCAACTTCCGCTTTAACAATAGCTAGTTAGACATACAGGAAACACTAAAAACAGGCCCTCGGCACTGATCTTAGTGTTGCTTTACTAGGCTTAAGGGAAGCTCTGTCTGCAAGACTACAAGACAGAACTTGTACATGCACATGAACCAAAGCCCAAGTAATTCCTCAGTTGTTTTTTTCCTCAGAGCATTCTTGTTCATTCTTGGTTTCTTAAGTTAATACCTTAAGACCATGAAGCAAAAAAACTACTGTGAAACTGAGGAGATAACATAACCCAGTTTTCTTGTTGGCGAAGACCAGATCTCAGCTTTGGAACCATGTGCACAGAGTCCCTGTTTCTAAGCTTCTGATCAAAAAGAGCTGCTATGACAGGAATTAGCTGCCTATACTGCTCACACTGCAATTTCCCCTACCTCCCCTAAAACAAAGGAGCTGGGCAAAATCATCTCCTGAGCCACAGCCAGACCACCCTGTTCAAAGGTACTGACAGCACAGCAACGCTTCCCCAGTAACTGCTCAGGGGCCTGCAGCAACTTTGCTTAAACTTTAAGATACTGGCCTGCAGGGGAAGGAGGGTAATTCAGTTCACAGTTGCAGTGTGTCACAGGCAGCTATCCAGTTTAAACACAGCTTACCCACAGCAGCTTGTTTGTATGTCTACACTCTGAATACCCACTTTCATTAACGTATGTCTGCAGAATATGCTGCATGAACAAAAAGGTTGGTGAACTTCACAAAATGGCTGGTTCCTGAAGATGTCTGGGTGCTGCCCCTCTTTGAATATCACTTCCTCTTCCATATCACTGAATACACAAAGAATACTCAATTCCTGAACACATACAACAAGACACATACACCCATGCCTTGTGTTTCATGGTATGAAACCTGTCATCCAAAACCACGGCCTAAATCAAAGACTGTGCCAAAGAATCTTCTATATAGCAAGTCAAAGAATGTCAAAACACAGTCCAGAGAATGTGCAAGACAAGCAGCAGGAAATTTTTCTCCTTTTTAAATTTTCTTTTATTCATCTGTGGAGAAATGCAAGACGTAAATTTCAGTTTCCAAGTTCATCAATGAAACTACAGAAAAAAAAGGAATTAAAAAGTCACATCATTTTTCAAACTTAAAAATATATTACAAGTGAACTTGACAATCATAAAGGCATAATGTAGATGGGCAAGTTGGATATGGGCTATTTTTACTGCATAAAGGTACCAATTACCTGCATCTAATTTCATGAAGTATGTTGGCTTTTCAATAACAACATCACACTTCCCATCTTCTAGAGGCCTGAAGTTTAATGCAGTAAACGTCTGGAGTTCTGCAAACCTACAAAGATTCAATCACACAGAACACACTTTGCCATTAACATACTCAAGCAAATGTACTTCATCCAAGTACATCTAAGATTTAATAACTGTTCACCCAGTCCATTTGATTTAACAGGACTGCTGAAAACTGATAGAGTCTGACAATCAAAATGATTTGAAATTGTAATGGAAGGTTCTTCAGGTTATGAGCTTCAAGAGGTTAACCACCACCTTTGATCTCAGGAGTCAACAGTGTCTTTGATCTACAAATCAAGGCAGTAGAGATATAACGAAGAGCCTTAGAGCCCAAATCTGTGGGTCTAAGCAACTTGATCTGCATTGCCAAAGACACTTCAGCAAGATCTTCATGCTTTGGTCAGAATAATGAATGTAAATGCAATATGACTATTCCTGGATATGAACAAGGATGAGCAGTTAAGATGACAATAGCAGGTAGAGAAGAAAAGTCTTTTCCTCCTGTGCCGCTATTCTTAACTGAAACTGACCATCAATACAAAAAGAGGAGACAAAAATGAGAAAATGGTAAAAATGAATTCTTATACAGATCTTAATGGCTTCAACTCCCCCATGTGTCATCAATTAACTGGCAATGCAGCTTTGAAGTGCTAACATGCAACTTGTGATACTTTACCACCTATCACAAAGGACCCTCTGCACTTCCTACTCAGCCTGTCGACTGTTGCCCATTTCACACTCCAAACACAGGCTCCCTGGGAGCACCATGTGAATGTGTATCCAGATCAGGCATTACAGTGCCCCCACTGTCAACAAAGACCGTGTGAACTAGGACACAAGTGCAAACTTCAAGGCATTTCACAACAATTGCCTCCTCGTATAAGCAAATTAGGCACAGGACCAGCATCTTGTCCAGAAAACACCTGAAGGTTAGAACTTCAAATTAAAAGACGTTTTCAGACTGTTTGCTGCTGTCAGTTAGGCAGGACACAATTACACATAGCATAGTTCAGAACATTCTGCATCGATGCAATTACCCAAGGTATCGAACATGAACCCTCAAACCAACCTTAGAAAGGAGCAACCATTTCCTCAATATGAAATCCCCTACACACAGCTGCTAATGCCAACGAAAAAGAAGAAAGAATTACAAAGAGAACTTGGAAGCAGCCTTTACAAGCGATTCTTACCAAGACTGCAGAGGGCTCTTGCGCTGACCTTCAGCCAAAAATGCCTTAACGTCAAGGGTGCAGTGACCTCCAATTTCTCCCTTCTGTAAAAAGTCTTCTTTGAACCTAATGCAAATTAGTAAAAGTCTATCAGCTTTTGTGCAACAGTGCTACAAGTGCTCTACAATCTCAGCTACATACTCCATTCAGCCAAGTACTTTATACGCATTTAAAACCTCCGAATTTCTTTAGCATAAATCAAGAACATCCCACAATTCCCAAATAAGCATAGTGGTGGCCATGGAGTTATACACATTAATTTAGAAACCAGCACTAATCTATTCAGAATGTTATTAGGAAACATTTTCACGTGCCAAAACGAGTAACTTAATTAGATTTTTCTACATGATTACTTACAGAAGCATCATTAGTTGTTTGAGGAGGAGGGAGGTTGGTTGGTTGTTTTTAACAATTCCTCACTGAAATTCACCTCAGATTTCACAACCCAGTTAGTAACCCAGGAATTTTATACAGCGTAAGAGTGAAGTGCAAGACCACGTTTGATGAAAACAAACTGCCAACTACAAGCACTGTCAAGATCAAGAAAGGATGTGACTAAGGACACAGAAAGGTTTTCCCCTCTTCCATCAGAAGGGAGGATTTCAATCACCCATCATTATTCCATAAAACTGGGAGCTTAGGTTTTTAAATAACCTGCACTGCTGACAGCAGCAGCAAACAGCAATCATGAGGTGTAGATCTCAACAGGAGCTCAGCAACAGGTCTCTGATCAGCAGTAAAGCTCATGGCAACAAGCACACCACTTTGCTAAACAACTTCTGAAGTCCTTTCCCCTGCCATCCCCTGGTTTTACTGTAACATAAGCAAATCAGAGACCTGTCATGGTTTCTCTTTACAGTTCGTAAATCGATGTACAAGTTCGTGGCTCTGCAATGCTGAAGGTACTGAGAACAGGTCAGAGATGAATCTCCCTGTTAAGAAAAGGACAAGTAGGATTTAGTGACTAACAAAAAAATCACATGTAAAAACAAGTGAAAAGTATCATATCTATTAGAAATACCTACCGTTGCTGCAGGCTTACAATGTGTTTTCATTTCATTGAGCCTTTCTCGAATGTAACCAAAGTCAGCTTGTTTCCAGAATATCTGTTGGGCTGTCTCAATGTCACTTGCCCTGATATATGAGGAGAGAGAGGAAAAAAAAAAATTATAAAAATCAAGGTCCATTGCTTAGTTGTAGCAATAATTTTAACAGATAACATTTTTACTGCTGAAAATGGAACAGAAGAACCAGCCAGTTGCTTTATTGACATGTAAGATGCAAAACAGGAAGCAACTCACCAGCTGCCTGTAAGTGAAAACATCAATGACAATTTAAAGCTACTCTCCCGTAAAAGGGTATAAAATCTTTTTTCACATTTTTTTCCTCTGCTTTTAAAGCTAAGAAAGGAAATACACAGTTATTTTAGGAATCTGAATTCAAGGCTAAATCAGAATAATGAAAACATTGTGGCAGGAAGCATTTCAAATGGTATTTTCTTCCTTAAAAAGTTAAATCTTTCATGCCATGTTGAAAGACATATGTAATGTATAAACACACACATATATACACACATATCTCCACAAAGGATAATCCTTTAAATATCACAATAATGGTCACTTCACAGCTAATATGAATGTGGGCACTACACTCTCTTTTTTCTTTCACATGCTGTACTTCATACATTGAAAATGAAACTTACCATCCAGTTTCAACATAATCACACACTGGGTAACTGAACCTGTGATCTGATTTACAAGATTTCTCATAACCCCAGCAGGATTTTAGCTTCTTCAAGTATTTCTGTAACACAGGATGAGTGAATCAGGTTACGCAACAGCAAAATGGGAAATGACTTAAGTCAGTTGTCAGCTTATAAACTACCTCTCGCAAATAAATCTTGCATGAAAGGCTTTCAGTTTGGTCTGTTTTCAGTTTCAGAAAGAACACACAGGTTCCTTATGCACAATGGTGGCTCCAAATAGGACACACGTGAACAGCAACATTATCCTTAAGTGTCTGTCCCAGGACAAACACTTTTCCTGACCCAGTAGGTAGGATTCCAAAATTTTCACCTCACTGACAGATAAAGATAACAAAGCTAAGCTCACACAAAGCACGCTGCTCTAAGCTCCAATCTGTCTGTACCATTGCTGCCCAGCTAAATCTGGATTCATTGCCTTCTGCAGTGCTTTATGAAGCCAGAGAAGGGGAGCACAGCTCCCACCCCCAGCTCTACAAAGCAGCTCCAGCCCGAGAGATGCAAGAAGTGCTCCTGACCCACATGTAGCTCAGATCCTCAGGTTCACTGTCCCTGCTTCAGGTAAATGAATTATGTGCAACCACAGGGTAAGATTGAATCAGTATTTCACTGATTTGCCTATACTCCTGGCACTGCTGCAAAAGCAGTACAGCACGCTGAAAATCACAGGCCCAGAAATTCTAACTGTACTTAGTTCAAACACCTTTCTCACGCACAAGAGTTACTCAGATTAAGATCATCATTTCAGCTCTGTAACAATTTAAAAAGAAGGGGGATACAAACCTTGCAAACCAGTAGATTTAAAATCCAGTCTTAGGACAGCATCAGACAAAGGAAGAGCTCTGTACAGCTATTTCAAAAGCACAATTCCAATTCCCAGTGGAACCGACTAATTGGCAAGGAAACCAATTCATCCCCATCTTTAACTGCTGTGACACCAAGGAAAAAACCCACCCCAATATTACATTTGAAGAAACAAGAAAAGCAAACCTACTTTATATGGGCAACGAGGGTCCTGCTGACAGATGCCAGCAATATGCTGGTTATTGTGCAGAAAGTAGGGAATGTGCTCATCCGGCAGGTTGATAGCACTGTAGCTATATAATGGCTCTTCTGGAGCGTTTTTGAACTCTGTAAGATTTTCAGCCAGAATTCCTTGCAGTAGCAATCCAAACACAAGCAACATGAACATGGCAACCTGTGAGCTCTGTACTTATCAAAAAAATAAACATAAAAGACACTTAATGTTTCTGCATCATAGCACATTTCAAGCATACAAGACAATATTCAGACATACAGTCAAAGCATTTGCACTTGTATTTCTGGGGTGATTTCTTTTTCCTATGAAAAGTAAAACCCTCACTAAGAGACTAGATTGTACAACCTCAGGATTATCTTCGAGTCATTAGTCATTGAGCGCTATTACAAACTCGCAGTCAAACTAAAATGGGTGTGTTTACTTTAGCTGAATCCCACAGGATCCTGAGAGTTCAAATGTGGAAACTAACTATAGAGCATATAATATCCAGCCAGAAGGAAGAAAATGTAGAAGTATTCGGGGGAGGGGTGAGAAGAGGAAGAACTTTAGTTTAAAAATAGGTATAAAAAGAATACGTTCTCCACTTTGAAAGAAACTAATCATAAGCTGAAGGAAAACTATGTAGTCACAAACAAATGGTGAAAATTGAGTCTGTTTCAGGATGCTCATTTTTAGCAGTTTACATCATGTCAAAGAAATTTTGAATACTAAGTTATTAAATTAACTGTAGTTAATTTTAAGTATACATATCTATATACTCTAAAGCAGACTACATACCTTTCTGGTAATGCAGTCTTCTCATCGAACACAGCTGCTCTGAACCATTAAACTTCCCAAGGAAAGAAAAGGATGGCCTGTATCTAAAACCCCTTTTTTGGCATTATAATCTGCCAAAATTTGCATGCCTGCTTGCAACTGAAGCCTTTAGCAATATTCCTACAATACAAGTAGTTTTACCTGTTTGGTTTGAGGAGAACTGCTTCAGATTTCCCAAGTACACAAACCTGGTAGAGGGGGAGGGAAGGAAGAAAAGCAGAGTTAAATATGTCGTGCTTCTTGAGAAACGCTCCCATCAATGAGAGCAACCCTCCAACAGCCCGGGAGCCTTTCTGACGCCTCTGGGTACTCGGATCCCTGCAAGAACGCATTCTGCTTCCCTTTCTACACCCCGGGCGGGGGGCGGATCTCGGAAGGGTCCCATCGCACCCCATTCCCGGCTCAAACCCAACGCTGCAGTGCCCCGCTCCCCAGAGCGGCACCCTGGGGCCCTGGCTGGGGATCGGTCACTTGGGGCAGGCACCAACACCCAGCGCCGGACACAGCCTCTGATCCACGCTGGACCCGGTGCTGGTCCCACGACGGTAAAACCCGTGCTGGACCCG